TTAATATGTGAATGTATTTTATTTATATTTTAAATCATTTTAATGAAAAAAAATTAATATATTATAATTGAAATATAACGAAGAACTTTATTGACTTAAAATTTTCCTGATAGTTGAAGGCTTATTGTAGTAAGCATTTTAACTTATGCATTGACTTGTTTATATCCCGGTTAGAGTAAGATTTTTTATTTTAATTATTTATTCATTATATATTTGAAGAAAATTTTAGGGGAAACTTGATTTTATTGAATTAGTCTATTTTAATATAGAGTTTTTAAATAAGATTAGAATCCGATCGACGTTATAATATTTTAAAATATAAGATATGATATATTTTAGTTCAATAAAATTAGAATAATGAAGACAATTTATTAATTTAAAATAATAAAAATGATATATTTCAATTATAACATATTAAATTCACTTTTATTTTAATTTTTGCAACATATTCATCTATTAATATCCTTTAATTGGGTACCCGTTGACCGGTATTCGATTTCTTATATATTATTTTTTATTCTTAATTCACAAATTATTTCACCCTAACATTATAAGTTCTTAATTTTTAAAATTATTTCACAATAACATTCTAAATATTATTTTCTTAAATTATTTCTTTTAACTTCAAAATATTTTAATTTAATTGTATTTTTTTATTTTTTAATAAGTTTTATCTTCTAATTATGTAATCTAAATTTTTAAATTTTATGTGTGAGTTATATATTATATAACTTTAAATTTTGTATGTAAATTATTTTTAAAAACAATGTAATTTTAAAAAAGTAAAAAATATAATTCGGATACTCGTGATCCGAGAATGTGGGTATTCAAATTTTACAAAAACCTGATTTATGAGTATCCAACTTGACAGGTTGCGACACAAATCAACATTTTAATATATTAAAATCCCGAATACTCCCCAATTTTAAACACTCATACTTTTAAGGGATTTAGTGTATCCACCCCTATGATGGCAGCTATATATAATCACAATTCACAAGTTACAAACAAAAATGAAATGATGATCATTTAATTACTAATTACTAAGTTACGAACATTATTATTATTTTTTGACCGTAATAAACATTAAAAAATCTATTAAATGACACACGCCTATTTTTTATTTTTATTTTATTTTTTACTTTTAAATGGTAAACTTTATCATGTATTCTAGTGCCAATTGGCAAGGATGCTGTTATTATTGTTGTTTATCATCACATGATTCATTTGAGAAACATACATAGTTAAAATACCTCAAATTGCTAAACATGAAATGGGATTTTCAAAAGCATGCCATGCGGGTTTCCTTGTCTTGTTTGTCTTTTAGGAACGTCCATGAAATGTACCATCAGTACCTTTATTTACAATGAGTCCTTTTGCGAGCAGTGCTGCAGTTTTCATTTCATAAAATGGTTACATTTAATTACAACTTGCATGTCAAACAAATCTGTCATGAAAAAGCTTATATTTCTGCACAATGTTTATGTATTTAGAACAACATACACCAGAAACTTGAGCTCATGTATGTTTGCTTTCTACCTGCCTAAAGCTGGTAATGGCATGCAGACCATTTTGCAAAGGTTTTCTAGCTGATTATGTTCTATTTGTTGTCGTATGTTCCGACTTGATTTCAGTAAATGGAATATTAAATTTAGAATTTCAGGGATAATGAAATATAATGGTCTCGAGAGCTGCATTCTCAACAATCAGTCTTATGAGCATGAAAGCAGAACGAGCCGAGGAGATGGATGTGCATCGGATGATGATTCTCCAGCTGTTCTTCTAGCAAAGATGCGTTTGGATCATTTCTTCCAAGTGGATGAAGAGAGATGAACAGGGTTCGGATGAATGGGAGCTCTGAGAAATCCCCAAGCACTTTTATGTCAAAGAGAAACCTGCTTATCCCATTCAATTTTCAGATGTCGAGACAATGAAAGAACATTTTGCAAAGCTTCTATTGGGGGAAGATATTACAGGTGGACGTAAGGGCGTCTCTACAGCTTTAGCTTTGTCGAAGGCCATAACAAATCTCGCAGGTGAGCTTGTTTCGAGAGACTTGTGTATATTACCAGAAACTTATATTCTGGATTGGAACTTGGAAAAATATGTTTAAATAAGAAAAGTCATCGCACTTCATGTTGTAGTTCATTCATTTTGTCTCCCATCAATGGGAAACATGCTTAATGAGGAAGAGCTGCAACTTGAAAAGCATGTACATTTACGAAGTTCACCGTGGTTTCCTGTTATCATAGAATTGGCTTCTTTCATTAGTCTTCAGCTTATACGGTACACAAATTCGAGTGTGCAGCTTCAGTTTTTGGGGAGTTGTGGAAACTGGAGCCACTAGCTGAAGAAAGGAAAAACAAATGGCGAAGAGAAATGGACTGGTTCCTCTCTCCTACCAACTATATGGTGGAGTTAGTGCCTGCTAAGCAAAACGCTGAAAATGGCAGGACCATGGAGGTACTCTTGTGGTTGTAGGGTTCTGATTAAAATGACAATGTGCATTCTGCAATATAGTGTGATAAATTTCTCTTATGAGCAGATAATGACTCCAAAAGCCCGTGCGGACGTTCACATGAATCTCCCAGCACTTCAGAAGTTGGATTCATGCTTATAGTAGGCGCTCTCTTTAGTCTTCCTAATAGTTTGTATTTTCTTTTATGAACGCGTCCCACATTTACCTGATTAAATTTTTAATATTGTCAGGAAACCCTGGAGTCGATGGTGAATACCGAGTTTTGTTATTCAGAAGTCGGAAGCAAAGCAGAAGGAAGAAACAAGAGTGCAAGGGAGAGCAAGAGGTGGTGGCTTCCATTGCCACAAGTACCAAAAACCGGGCTCTCAGACACCGAAAGAAAGAGGTTGCAATGCAAAGGCAAGGTGGTATATCAAGTATTCAAGGCTGCAACATCAATTAATGAAAATGTCTTGCTTGAAATGCCTATCCCTTCCATAATTAGGGATGCCCTTCCCAAGGTGAGCATACTTATGTGATGTTATATAATAGCTTGAAGCCCTCAGCGCTGGTTACAAGCTTGGATCCTTCAGGGCACACACTTATATAATAGTTTGTATTGCATTTATGGCAACTCAATCTCATTCCCCATGTTTGCAGTCCGGGAAGGCAAGTATCGGTGATGAATTGTACAAGGTTTTGACTCTCGAGTCCAGCTCAGTTGAGGAAATGTTTGTTTTGTTCAATATAAAGTCGGAAAATAATGCTCTTGAGGCCATTAATAGGTTGGAAGCTGCTGTATTTGCATGGAAAGGGAGACTTACAGAACAAACTAGTGGTAAATCCCCAGTGCGAAAATCATGGTCTTTCATTAAGGATCCATTGTCTGGAACGGATAAGGCGGAGCTACTAGTGGACCGAGCCGAAGCACTTCTACATCACATAAAGAGTGCATATCCAAACCTTCTTCAAACTTTTCTTGATGCTACAAAAATTCAATATGGTAAGTTAAGTTAAGTGTGTTTAAAGTAAAATTTATTAGGGTAAAGTACACAAATGGCATTCTTACTATAGGATACTGCTTCGTTAAGTCTCCGACTATTAAAATTTACAAAATAATCCATCGACTATAGAGATTTACTTTGATAAGTCCCTCGACTATTAAAAGCTATAAAATTGTCATTCAAATATTCATTATGTTTCAAACTTGTTCTTTTCTGTTAAAAAATTAACGACAATATGAGTTTGACGTTAATCAGTTGACTGAGATATGATGAAATCTAATCTCATAATCTCAAATGATGATCATATCTCAGTTAGCATGTTAACGTCTAGCTTAGAAGATCATTAATTATTTAACGGAAAATGACAAGTTTGGAACATAATGAATAGTCGGGTGATCATTTTGTAATATTCAATAGTCGAAGGACTCAATAAAGTAACTCTCTATAGTTGAGGACTCAACAAAGTAATATCCTATAGTCGGGGACCATTTATTTACTTTACCCAATTTATTATACATACATGTGATGGCAATTTTTATTCTGCATTTATCTTTCACTACTGAATCCATATTAAAATGACTGGTGCGTAGGATGTTGGACATTCCATTCTGGAAGCATATTCTCGTGTCTTAAAGAGCTTGGCATTCAGCATAATGTGCAGGATGAGAGAAATACTGCAGGAAGATAGTTTGCTTAAGAGGGATGCATGATTTTACGTTAGGAATGATGAATTTATAAAATTTTAAAAGGGAGATAACTTGAAAAATTATAAGGGTCAAAAATGGATTTTCAACTGAAAATACAAAAAAAATCTAAATTATATAAAAATTTAAAACTTTTAGGGGCAACCCCTCCTTCCCCTCCCTCCATCTCTGCGTGCAACCCTGACTCAACATGGTGCTTTCCAGGAATAAAATTAGAGGGGAAGAACTGTGAATCTGATACTGACAGGGACTCAGGGAGTCGTACATGCAACACCAAGTACCAAGTAGGAGTCGTCGAGTTTGGTGTAATGGTAATGATACATGTGGTATTGTAGGAATGTCACCTTAATATATCTAATGGATTATAGAAGTATGGTTTTCAACACTGCTTTTGTAAGTGATTATCATTATTTAATAATATTTAATACATATGTTACAGATATTTAGACTTTGGAAGAAAGATAGACCGGATAAAAATTACAATTACCTAATAACTTTTCAAGGTATGTGATCTCAACTTGACGAGAAGTTGGAAGAACCATGGGATTAAAGGATTTAATTCTCAAGTACGTACCTTTTTCTTAAGTTTGGTAGAATTGAGTGTGAACATACTATTCATGAAGTTTATTTATATAATTTATTTTTATAATATTTATTTGTTTGTTGTACTCCTGATTTTTCGTAATTTTATTCAAATGAATTCGAATTGATATATGTGGCACGCTTAATTTTGATAGACGAGACTGCAAGGTCTCGAGGTCGCTCGAAATCAAATGAAACAAAGATTGTTACTGGGTGAAGAAATATTTGAAAAAGGAAATGAAGGGTGGCGGGAGGAGTGGATCCACATTGGGTGATGGAGGCAGAGACAATTGCTGCTTCCCCACACAAGACTCCAACACCAACAGAGGCAATTGCAGACTCCCTCCTTCCTTTTCCTTGGGGAAAGAAAAAGCCTTTTAACCTTACACGCTGTTTTCAAGACGTAACCATCCTTCAGATCTGAATACATATCCTTCCCTAAATAATACTTGGAGTGCCTTTCAATCACATCTTCCAAATGTCACTTTCTTCATTCAACCTGCTTTTCCCCCTTTTCTCTTTTGGATTTAGGGTGAAACTCAATTGAAAAACAACACTTAGATGGGATCCGGTGGGAGCAAGCATTGTTGCAGACTAGGCGGCGGAACAGAAATTGCATCTTCTTCTTCCTCGTCTGGCGACGCTGCCAGACGGAGAAGATCCAAGGGGAAGAACAGAGTTTTCCGGTCCTCTTGTCTGAGAGCGTTATCTGGATCTGAGTCTCCTAAACCTAACTTTCCCCATCGGAAAGAACCTGCGTCGGAGTCGGATCAGGTCAAAAAAGAATGTCGCAAAAAGGTTGAAGACGAAACGGCATCTCACGATGAAATGCCAACGCCTTGCGTAACTTCTGGTGGTAGCACTTCTGGTGCGGCCGCAACAGCTGCGCATCACTCTCCTTCTCGATGCCTCTCCGGCTTTAGCTTCCGATTAAGCAGAGGTAATAGTTTGGAGTCCTCCGCGGAATATCGTGTTTCTCCTACGAGTCTTTCAATGTTGAACCGTGGTGACAATTCTGTCACACTAGAACCTCAACAACCTCCCCGCAATTCGTGCTCTCCGATTATCGTCAATGATGCAGATGGAACTGGAGAGGCTATTGAAAGCAATGCTCGTTTTAGCAGAGCCTTAAGTGTTGGAAGGCTTCGTGATCGTGTTCTTGGTAGAGCTTCCTCATTCTTCCCTTCGCAGCAAGACATACAACTAATTACTAATCAAACTCGGGAATTAGCTACCTTTCCATCCACCACCACCACCGATTCCGCTCTTGATTCCTCCATCGTTTCCCAGAATGAAATTGAAACTCCACGATCCAGAGAAGCCAGGTATCATGATTTGTTCCACCACAGATCCAATTTCCTTGAAAGGAGGAGAAGAATACGATCTCAGGTTTATAACTTTCTTGCTCCCACCACCTTAATCACAACGCTTTTTAATTTAATCTAAATCCTGGTGATTAGTGGACAAAGTTGATGATAACTCAACTTTCTCCATTAACAATTATAATCAGAACAATCAGTTTGGCTAAGGCCTGTCCTGATGCTTTATTTAGGGTTTGCCTGCATGCATTACGTTCTGCTGTAGGTTCTTTGAAAAATTATCCATCTCACAGAATGCAGATCCTTGTCTGTTTACTTTAGTCACTGACCTATGAACTGCACCAGGTCCGAGCTCTTCAACAGTCAGGAAGCCATTTTGAGAACTTATCAGGACATGAAAGATCTTGCATTTTATCTGGTCAACACAGAACTGGTCAATGCGCATGTCATGTAAATAATCAAAATTCTAGCTCAAACGATGACACCACCAGTGCTAGGTCTAGCGTGTCCAGAATTGTTATGCTAGCTGAAGCTTTATTTGAGGTGATTTTTATTTGTTATTTTGTTGCCTTCTCGGAGTAAGCCTCCACGTTTCCATTGGAGTCATATTTTGTGTATTTTAACTAGGCCCTGGATGAAATTCACCAGCAATCGTTGGTTTTATCTTCTCAACCATCTTTGTCTCCAATTGGGTCTGTTCCTGCACCAAATGAAGTTGTGGAATCACTTCCTCTCAAAGTATACAAGTCACAGAAACTTATGAATGATGAGGCTGTGCAGTAAGTATTTACTTTCTTCTACTATGCTAAACCGTTAACCAAGCTGTCCATTTGATTTAACTTGTATGGGGACGCCTTTGACAAATTATTAGTTTTCAAGTGTGTATGTTATTTGACTGAATCTAAAATCATGGCCTTAAATATATATTCAGGAAAAGTTAATCAAACACTACATACAAATTAGCTCGGAGTTCAAGTAGTTTTCAATTAATCTCTATAACATTAGATCTCTCATGCTTCTTCAATTGTGCTTTAGGAGTAAGATAGGCATTGCAGAAATGTGTTCTAAAAATTGGTATGAAAATTATTGATTACATCTTTACTCTTGCACTAGTTGTGAACATGGATAGGAAAATGTTATGCGAGCATAATATGTTCTTCTCTTGCCAAAGAAACATTCTAGTCTAAACGTCTAATATTTAGACTTGACTGAAGATGCAAAGTATGCCTGAAATAAATTAGTTTCTGGGGGATAATTGAATTGTGAATATGAGTTATAATTGCATTAGACATGACGATAACAAAGCAGCAAGGAATGAGAATGGTTACCATCTTAGATCAGACTAAGTTTAAAAACATGTATAATCAGGTGAGAGGAAACATAAGCTATTACAGAGGAGTAATAGCTTTGTGAACTTTGTAGATCTTTGTGAAGATAACGAGACAACTTAACTTGTATCTTAACTAGAAATTAAGATAGAGTATGTGACAGCATTAGTGATATGGTAACTGGAATTTTTTTCTTTTTTGGGATAATTGAGGGTTGAATGGCACAGTCAATATTCGACTAGCTAATTTAATAGACTATTTAGACCTGAAAGAATGGTTACTAGTTCTGTATTATGGGGACAATGAAATACTTGCTCTCTTTGGTCGCTAAGTTATCAAGCATGCTTCCAAGTTATATTTACAAATAGATTCAGAGTATTTTGCATCTGAAACTCTTAGTGAGCTTGCTTAAACAGAGTATATTGTGCATAATTGTTGGCAGACCTCATGGGCAATATCCTGTGTGGATTCGTGACTCTAATTCGGTGTTATATTACGAAGTTCAACAACATTAATTGATCTGTGTGATGACTCATCGGGAAAGGAATGTTAACTCATGAAGAATAATTTATTTGCCCTACCATTTACCCACAATATCATTTAAGATGAGTTCAATACACAAGTTACAAGCATAAATGACGAACTAATTTTACTTTAAACTGTTAGGTTTTAGCAACCATGTAATCATGGTCTTTGATTTTTTGAAGTGTGAAAATTTGAAATATAGACTTGATAAACTTGGGGTAATATGTATGAATAACCTGGATGTAATTGCAAATGTGAAATTATCTATGTGAAGCATATAGAATAAAAGCGTTGAGATTCACATGATAAAGTAACACATATCTATCTTTTTGAGCATTGATGCTGCAACTGTCAGTCCTGCTAAATCACCTTGCTAGAGGTCAAGACCTTAAACACTGCAATTGGCAAGGGGGGATGGTTTTTAGGGGTCGTAACCTTTGTGCTTTTTTTTTCAAGACTTTCCAATGGAACTTGTATGCAATCAATCATGTGTTTTTTGTCCTAATTTTTTCCCCTCCATTTAAATTAACAGATGTTTCATCTGCCTTGGGGAGTACGAGGAGGGGGATATCATTCGGAGATTGCCTTGTAATCATGAATTTCATAGAACATGTATCGACAAGTGGCTCAAGGAGATTCACAGGTATAAGATGATTACCTTTTATTGAAGTTAATTTTTATTTAACATGACTAAATATTTGATTAACGTTGTTCCATATAAAATAGGCATGAATTGCCAATGGCTTTTTGGTAAATAGCTTCTGTTCCCCTGAAGGAGAACATCATAGGTTGCATGCCATATGTTAGGTTACTACCTATTATTAAGAAGGCTTAATACAAAATAAACTGCCCAAACTATACCTTTTTTCTCATTTAGGTGGTTAAATTACTTTCCGGTCAATCCAGGTGATTACTATTACAAACGTTATCATTTTAAGTGTCTTGACTATAATGGCCGTTAAAAAAGTTCGTTAAGTGACATATGTTGCATTTATATAATATTGAAAATATTATTTTAAAAAAACAACAACACAATCCCCCAACCTGTGTCATCCCTTGTAACACCCCCCTGCGCCATGCTTGCCATTTTGCCAATTTGTCGAGCAGCCAAAGGCTAATAGGTGGCCAAACGATCTACGGTCACGGCTGATCATAGGGATTTAGGAGATTTTTAGGGATTTTGAGTGTTTTATATTTTAGAAATTTAGGGATTTAAGTTTAAGAATTAGGGGAGTGGAGCGACGGCTGGTCACTGGGTGGCCGGTGACGATTGGGGTGACTGTTCGTCAATAATTGGCTGCAATTAGGACGGCAGCAGTTGGTGTTTGGATTTTGGAATTAATGTTTTTAATATTTTCTGGTTTTTTTAAGATTTAAGAAAAAAATGGAGTTTTTTATAAAAAAAAATATAAATTTTAAGTTTTTTATTTCAGATAAAAATTTCAAAATTCTATAAATGTGACATGTGATAGATAACATAAATTTTTAACGGACGTTACGATCGAGGCACTTAAAATGATAAAATTTGTAATGTTAGGTACTTAGATTGATCGAAAAATAATATAGGTACCTAAATGGAGGGTTAAATGTTCCCTTAGGCTAGTGTTAATAGAATTGCAATGAGATTAATATGGTTTTTGGCTTGTAGGGTGTGCCCTCTTTGTCGAGGTGATGTATGCGGACCTGATTGGATGCCTACGGAGAAGTAGAGCTTCTAGTTTGTTTATACATAATTGAGCATTGGCAACAGACTTTGGTGAGCATTGGGAACAGACTTTGGTGAGCATTGGCAACATAATCGAACATGAATATGAACGAGTGTGTTTAATAAATCTCATCTGTGATCAGTTTCATCACTTTTTGGCTGCACAATAAAATGATAACATAAATTTTTATTGTTCTTCAATGTTCCCTTATTTTTACCAAAGAAATAGGTATAATGCTGCAAACTAGAATTTCATTATCCGTCACCACCGCATTACATTACATCCAATCCCATCCCATCCCTTGAATTTTATGAGACTATGATTCTCTCTTTCATGCTCATTCATTGGCTATATGATCAGATGTTGCAATGGTCACCGACTGTGGAAGCCACTTGGATTCAACAACCAAACATGATGCTATGGCACGAGATGCTAAGGCCAATTAACCCTTCATACCTGACTAAAATGAATGGCGTAACTAGTGAAATCCCAGCCCCCTCATGTTATATCTATGCTTATGTACTCGAGTGCTCTTATTCTTAATGTCGTTCATAACATGTGAAGATTAACAAACTTACAGCGCAACCAAGAGAAACACTATTACTACATAACAAATTTAATTTGTATTCCACCATTTCCTCCTCGATAATCTGATACCGCAAAAGTTCTACATTGAAAACTTCTGCAGTCTACTCTTCTCTAACTACAGAATGCACCCACCTCACCAGGTGAATGATCTCCTCACCACCGGTGGCATGTATTGGTGATTTTCCAGTTAAGAGCTCAAGTAACAAGACCCCATAACTGTATACATCAGATTCTTGAGTTGCTCTCCTAGTGATTGTTACTTCTGGTGCACGATAACCCGCTATTCGCATTGCAGGTGGAGACATTGGACTCATCACTGCTGCCAAACCAATATATGAGACGCAACCGAATCCTTAAGAATTCAGGAAAATGTTGGAAGCTTTTATGTTTCCATGGACTAGTTTTCCATTGTTTTCTGCGTGCATATAAGCAATGTATTTTGCAGCACCAATGGCGATTCGAAGTCTAGTTTCCCAGTCCAAAGGTCTCCGGCCTTCTCCTATTTTACGTGAAATATTACATATGCATAAAGGATATAATATTGAGGAAACTAAAAACTAGGGATCAAGAAACCAGTGAGTTAACAGATAGGGTTAACTCTTATCTTATCTTATCGAATCATGATTCATCATTCTAAAGCAAGCAAGATAGATAATTCAGAAAGATTGAAGTAAGAGCTGAGCTGACGATGGAGATTAAGCACATCAACTCACCATGTAACAGAGCAGAGACACTTCCTCGGTCGTAGTAATCATGAACCACGAGTTTCTCGTCCTTCGAATAATAATATGCCCTAAGCCTGGACACATTCTCATGCCTGACGCTTCCGACTGCCTCCACCTGTTGCTTGAACTCCTATTTTCTGGATGTTATCTCCTTCGGCCTCTTCACTGCAATTGCTGTAGCATCCTAAGGTTGTTATAGTCGTTTGAAATTATGAAATCATATTTTTTCATATATTCAATCTAGGTTGATCCTGACTATTTTTTGACCCGGGACAAAATTAAAATGTTGGGCCCCTAATTCAAAAAAAAAATAAAAAAATATGTAATATAAAATTTTAATTAGAGTTTTTATTAGAAGTGTACCTATTTATTAACATTAATACAAAATTTCAATAATTACAACTTACATCTTAATAAATTTATGGGTTCCATTTTTTATTTTACAGTTTTTAAAAAAACATTATCTTATTTTACATTTTTTTAATTTCTTATCAAAAATAAAAGAAAATATTATATTAATAATATTTTTAAATTTATGGGCCTGGGCGGGTACTCCTTTTGCCCTAGCTCAAGGCCCCACCCAAGGTCGATTCTGTCTCAATCAACAGTTTAATGTTCTACTTAGTCTATTAATTTCTTTTGACACTTTTTAAAAAAGAAATAGACTTTATCTTTTTTTTTTGTCCGTTTCGATTTCCAAAGCTTTGCCTTGATTAATTCAGTCGCACACCTGGAATTGCTTACCACTTAATTTTCTACATGCACAAAGACTCAAACACGAGATTTATTTAAGTGATATCAAGTTGCTTACCACTTAAACAAATCCTATATTTTAAAATGTATTTAAAATAAAATTAAAAATTCAATTTTCTCATTTAAAAAAAAAAATCTTCATATAATTAAAAATTCAATTTTCTCATTTAAAAAAATTCTTCATATAATTAAAATTTAACCCTTCAATGAATTTTCTAACTCCGCCCGAACAATTAATATATGCAATTCTTTAAGAAAAAAAGACTTAATAAAATCTTAACCAACTCTGGAATTGGCAATTACATAACGTTTCATGGATAAAAATACTAGTAGTAAGCTCAAGCAACTTTATTTGTTTCTAAGATCATACACTTTATCCAATAAGATAGATGTAGAATTAGACGTTCCAAGAAATATGAACAATGTCCATAAATTAATAATGCTAATAAATAAATAAATTATACATCCAGCCCCGATTCAGAATCAACTTTTGGACAAGTAGGGTTGCAAGGGTACGGGCAATCAAGTTTTTTTATGGTGCTCCGCTCATAATACCAGTCTCCCACAGCCTTCGCAATTTTCTGCATGCGACGACATGAAGTTCATGTCATGACCGCGACCGGTTAAGGTTTATAAGAGATGAGTATCGAGTCTCTTACCGTGTTATCCACTACCGGAGAAGTATCGCTCGACCATGTTATCTGCTTCCCTATTTGACAGTGAGCATAGCAGGAATCTATGAACATTCCTCCTGACGAAGAATTGAGGACACCAGTTGTATTAATGGCAAGTAAGAACTCATCCCTGAAATCTGTATCAAAGATAAGACAACAGTTACTTTACTTCATCTGGCCTTTCATCAAGGAGACAGGTCAACGATATATATACATGTTGCAGAATCATTGTCACCTTGGATGACTTTGAGCTGCGCAGGTGTACACTTGTTCAAATCAAGCTTGCAGCTTTTCCACGCCTTAGCTTTGTCAGCAGCACTGGGAGCCAAAATGTTCTTAATCTGATGAAAATTTAAACATATGCTATCATTAGAGTATGTAACGTAGGAGGATCATAAGGAATCGTTATTGTGGGTGCATAAAAGCAAATGCATAGCGATATTGGATTCAATATCGGCTTGACAACGGACCTGCCAGGAGTCGTAAGCCGAATTTATGAAGAACATTGGTGTTTGCATGGTCTGCACCACGTACTGTGGGAAAAAACACTGCAATTTTGCAATGAAAACTGGTAAGAATGAAGTGATAAATTAACGAATTAACGGAAGGGACAACGGTAGTCGTACCAACTCTGGTCTTGTTCCCATTCTTGAAGTGCAAGACGCCGGCAAGTTCTTAATGGAGTCCTGCACGGGACATTACATCCATAAGTAATGTGTCTTGTTACAGAAAAAGCAATTATTCATGAAGTCCGCCAAGAACAGAAGTAATCAAGACGATACGTGTAATTTAGCCACTTGGCTATAGAAATTTTCAATGTGCTGTCCTCCGGAAACGTCCTTCCTACAAGAAAAGCATTCCTTTAATGTCAGATGAGAGATATGTATACATAGAGTAAAGAAGGTCAAGGTCTCTGAACTCACGCATGGATGAAGAAGCCGGCGTCTGAAATGCATTTCACTTTAGTTGTCGCGGGAAGGAGATCTCGGAATCTGTCGCAGTGCAATATCGAAGCCAATCCACCAGCAGAACAGCCAGAAAGAATGGCCTATTTATTGTGTATACAGATTCCAACAAGTTATGAACAAGTAGAAAAAAAGGGTTACTCAAGGAATTAAACAAGCTCAGCAAGGTCTTACATTGTTAGCGTTTTGCATTCCTTTTGCTAAAAGATCAGCAATGATAGCTTCAAAAATTCTATTTCCTCTGAAGAAGAGATTATTAGCCTGATCACACAACCGTTATGCGTCAACACACGTACAAGCTTAATTTCTCAATTAAGTGAAGTAACTTACTGGATTGACAGCCTCGACATCGCCTGTGAATGATGATCCATCGCAGTACCTAACCTTAATCCGGTTCCAATTGTAGAAATCTAATTGTTTCGATAAAATAAGTGTGTTAAGATAAAAGCATTCGATTGTGGTCGGACTAAATATGAGGCAGAGGGAAATTGTCAGATCCAACCTACCTGGATTGGATTTTTGTTGGCTGCTCAGAAGTCCAGAGAAACCAAATTGCTTCACCATTAGTTTCGATGACCCTAAGTCGGTTTTCTTACGAGAAAGGCAAGTAGCGACATCTTCACACCATCCTCCACCCTGTTAGGTCATTGTGAAAGTAAATACACGCCACAAGCAAGCAACACGATGGCCAGTGGTCGGTCGGTGCAAGATGAGAAAAGGACTAACCTCCATGTGAACAATCCAGTTATTAACACCAGTGCCAGAGCCCTTGTCAAAATGGTAAGCTGGTGGGCTGCCATCCAAACAAACTGCACAACACCATCAAAACCATAAAAAAACATGTACATAAACATATAAATGACATAGAAAAACAAAGGCGATCCCCTACCGGCTCCTTTCGTTGCCGCATCCTGCAGAAAAGTGATTCCTACGCTAGCGCCTTCAGCTTTCAGTGATATAATTGTAAGCACACAGGCCAGAAGACTTGACCCGATCATTCTGCCGTGCTGCATTTACTAATTTACAGTCAGTGTCGGAAAAATACTGCTACTACAGCTATACTTTCAGAGTCTCGTATCGTATGTAACCCATGAATTCATGTATAAATAGTCGTACGTGACCCATGAATACATGTATACATGAATATATACACTTAATCAACATTACTAGCATTACCTAAACATCTTTATCAAGTTAATGACTGGCAACTAACAGCATCATTCATCTAGAAATAAAGCTACCATTAACTCCAACCACCGCACATAATCATCCGATGTGCAGATCAGATAACACTAATTTCATCTCATCATTTCTGATAATCAAATGCCGGAACTCACTGTTAAACCAAAACAGGGACGGGTGTCGTATTTTATGTTGGGGAACGAAAACAAGTTATCAATTGAAAATACAAAGAAAATATCTAAAATATATGTTAATTTGAAGAAATGACCATCCAGCTCAGTTGGTAGAGCACAAGGTTCTTAACCTTGAGATCGTGGGATCGAGTCCCTTCGTGTTAGGTGTAGCCTACTATCTTACCTCCCCTTACCACATACATATGGGAAAAAGGGACAGCCATTTCTTATATGTTAATTTGAAATTTTCAGAGGAGACGACTAAGAGTCAGAGACTTTGTTAATTTAAAAAACGAAATACTGCAATAACAACCGAAACAGATAATCAACGCAAATAATACTAGAAATACTGCCAGACAAATATATACTGAATGTAATTAGTTGGAACATAAAATTCCACACACATACATACCCATAGGCCATATGGTAATATTTAGGGAATCAAATACAATGACAATACCATAGTATAAGCCATGATGAAGGCCATGCATGTGAGATGAAACATGTTGATGTTGATATGTGAGCTTAAACGGAGAAAACGTGCTCTATTTCTTTTGACCAAAGCTACTGATTCTCCTAAAAAAGTTGCAAGTCACTTATAAATAACTTATATCCCGGATGCAATGAAGGGGCAGATAGGAGAAGTTACCCTTAAAAATTTTATAAGTTTATCTCCTAACATAAGATCATACGTATGTTGCTATATGTAATCTACTAAACTTTACCTAGTTAGACCTAGGTTTCTTTATGTAAAAATTAATTTACAAAGCTATTGTATTTATTACTTCATTACCAAAAAGTTTACTAAAGAATTTTAATAGAACCTAAGCTAAATATTACCGAATAAAATCTATGGTATATATACTGCTGCGTGAGAACAATATGACATGGGCAAAGGCAGGCCTGAGCTGCCCATGAGATAATGTAGTGGAGAGAGGACTGAGATGTACAATCTCATTAAATAAAAGGCATAATACCAAAAATAGCCCTCCAAAATTTATCGAAATGATAGCTTTGATCCATATTCTTTTTTTTTTTAGCATTTTACCCCAATATTTCACTTTTGGATAAAAAAAATTCTCTTTATAGATGAAAATCATTAATTAACACAGGATTAACGCTTTAAATATGAGACTCTTTAACCTAAAACAATATTTTGAGAGTTAAAATGCTTAGAAAAAAAGAATAAATGGCAAAGTGATCATTCTGTTAAATATTAAAGATTTTTTTACCTTAAAATAAAAGGTTATTGGTCAAAATATTTTAAAAAATAAAATACAAGGTAATGACTATTTTAATAAATGTTAGAAGGCTAATTTTGATATTATGCCTAAATAAAAGTTAAAAAAAACATAATTATGATAACCAGACAAAGGCCATGAACCCAAAAAAATAGAAAGCATCCGACAAAGAAGATTGAATCATCGTGCTACTCTCTCCACATTCAAAAACCGATCAAACACAAGCAATACGACAGCAAAAATAGAAAGGATCCGACAAAGAAGATTGAATTTTAAATTTTCAGATCCACCCCTCCGTGTCTGTCTGTGTGATTCTAAGATAAAACTGTAAAATGAGAAAGATATAACAGTAAAAATGAAAAGCGAAAACGCAGGCAAGCACAATGAGCAGAGCATAGAGCGCTAAGATAAAGGATGTAGGAGGATTGTGCAGCCGAAGAGAAGGGGTGTAAACTTACAGAGAGATGAAATGAGAAATTTTGAAGTTGAGCAGCTGGAGAGAATAGCTATAAAGTTGCGATTCCCAAACAGAAAATGGACACCTTACTCTTAGTTTCTTCTTATTACGAGCAAGATGAGTGTTTTGGTCGAGTCTTAACCATCTCTCATTTCATTTATAGGCCTCATCACAGTTAACGCGTGCCAACTAAGCACCCAAAAGTCAATCTTAAGTCCACAGATCAGTTGTCGGTGAGATCCATTTTTATTTAGGGTAAAGTAATGTTTTTTTTAGTATTTTATCATTAAAATTTATAAAATAGGTTTTGATTATAAGATATTATTTTATTGATTCTTTTAATTATTAAAAATTATGAAATGATCATTTGATTATTTATATGTTTCAAATACGTTAATTCTTATTCAAAAATTGATGATTATCTAAGTTTAATGTTAATTTATTTACTTGGATATGATAAAATTATATTTAATTGATGTCTACTGCACCATCGTTGCTTTTAAGTACTAACTCACTAACATAATATTTTAAGTATTGGCTTGAGGGTATAATGTAAACAACTAATCAATCCATAAAATACAACTGAAACGGTTATGAGATCAGATTTTATCATATCTAAACCAACAAGTTAATGTATAGTTAAGACAATAGTAAATTTTTAACCAAAAATGATAATTTTATAACATATAAATAATTAAATGATTATTTTATAATTTTTAATAGTAAAAAATTTAATAAAATATGAAAGATATTTTTAAACTTTTTAATACTAGAAAACTCAATAAAGTAACGATTAGGGACCAATTATGTACTTTGATGGATACAACCATCATTTGTTTGCATGCATGGCAAAAAGGTCTTTTGGATAACGACACATAAATTTTAAAAGTTGGACAAAATTTAATTAAATCGCAAGAAATATAGGTCAATGTAGATTATCCCTCGTACCTAGAAACTAATCCAATACAAAGAAGAAAAAAGATCATTTAAAGTTTCTTTGAAAAAATAAATTTAGAATTTTAATATTTAATATTATTGTTGAAAATATTTATTTAGATACTGTACTTTTATAAATTAAAAAAAGAGTTAATTTAAATATGTTCAATTTCATTAAAATTATGATATATGAATTAAATTAACATAGTTTTTAATAAAAAAAATATGATATATAACAACTCATTAGTAAATATTTTCCTTTATAAAATATGATTTTAAATATTTTGAATTAATTAATATGAATTATTGACTTAAAAAAAGTATCTTTCAAATCATGTATTTTTATAATAGTGTAGTATGTTTAAATATTTTTAAGTAAAGTAGGAACCATGCGACATTACCGGTTAAAAAGATGGTTATTATCTTTAGAGATATTGGATTTGAGCATGGCATCTGTAAGGGTATTTAAACGTTCATTGTCAAATAATTGAGATTATTCTAATCAAATATTACTTTATAATAACCTCATACTAAAAAAACATTTTTTAAATAATTTTTCATTTAAGTTTAAATTTTTTTGTAAAATTTAATTTGAATATATATAATATATTTTGGATATTTAAATTATATACACTATAACCATTAGATGTTAATAATAAATAAATTAAAAATAAAATAATTATACACTTAATATAAATATTACAAAAATATATTATTATATATTTTAAAAAATAGATATTTATATATATGCCAATCAATATGGCAAAAGTGCCCAGATAACGCTACAGGGAGTGTTTAATCTCCAAACTAACGTGCTCATCCGATTAATTCCCCAAATGAGGTATTTTCTACAGTAAATTTGGGATCTCTCGGTGTCTTCAAGGTTTAACCAGATTTTTTTGGGTCTTGCTTGGGATCTCCCGGCGTCTTATTTGGAATTTTCGGTGTCTTGAGGATATTTGATTGTTTATAGGGATCTCTACGCGTCTTTGAGTGAAATCAAGAAAAAAATTTGGTTTTTTTACACAAATATCACCTTAACATAAAGTAATTACTTGTTAGGCATTGTTTAAGAATATTTTACGGATCTAGCAAAATTTTAAAAATACCATTTTAAATAATATGAAAAGTTTTGATATTTTATAAATTTATTTAATTATAAAATATTTAAAAAACATATTATTTTAAAATATAACACAATACATACACATCTTTTATGATGGACTTATAAACTTCGATCTTACAACGTACGAGATTCATGATAAAATACATTTTCCTTTTCATTAAATTTGTTTAAAATACACTTCTCGATATATTATATGTAAATATATGTTAACTATTTTTTATTTAATTTTAATTTAAGTTGTATATAATTTTAATATATTTTTTCTTTTTTCATAGACTCCCATAAAATAATAGCACGACAATAACGATTTAATGATTTATAAATATTAAATTAAATTGAAATTTAATATTAAGTTGTACAAAACTAAAAACTTATATATTTTATCATACATTATACTAAAGTTCCGGTATATTTTTGACAGATACTTTTTGGTGTTAAAATATTATTGTAAAAAGAAGAGAGAATGAACTACAATGGAAACATCATTAAGTGGTGTGCCAGTTATATTTTAGGTGAATTATATATTGAGTAAACTTATATAAAATTTATAAAATTTTTATAGAAAGTATTTAAAAATTTGCTAGATCTGTAAAATATTATTAAACAGTGCCTAACAAGTAATTAATTTATGTTAAGGTGATATTTGTGTAAAAAGGCTAAATTTTTTTCCTTGATAACTTAAAGACGCCTAGAGATTCCCATAAACAATCCAACACTCTCAAGACTCCGGGAGATTCCTAACAAGACGCTTGAAGACGCTGGGAGATTCCAGCAAAGACGCCAAAAAAATCTGGTTCAACTCTGAAGACGCCGAGAGATCCCAAATTTTCTGTAAAAAAACACCCCATTTAGAGAATTAATCGGATGAGCACTTTATCTAGGCACTTTTGCCCAATATGAACATTAATAAAAAGATAATATATATAATTATATAGAGTTAATGTATCATATGTCCTCAAACTATGGTCCCTATTTAAAATTAGTCCCTAAACTTTTGAATATTCCAATTTCATCATCAAACTATGATACCCATTCTAAATTAGTCCTTAAACTTTTGAATTTTCTAATTTCATGATTAAACTATGACCCTAATTCTAAATTATTCCCCAAACTTTTAAATCTTTCAATTTTATCCCTAAATTCATCCAAATATGTAATTAGTTTTAACCATAGTTTAACCTGAACATTATTTTTTTCAAACATATAATAATATAGTTTGACCTAATGATTTTATTAAAATGGAATACGATTAGTGTATACATATAATTTGGGATAAAATTGAAATGTTTAAAAGTTTGAGGACTAATTTATAATAAAAGATATAGTTTGAGGATGAAAATAAAATGTTCACAAGTTTGAGGACAAATTTAGAATGGTAATCATAGTTTAGAAATGAAATTAGAACATTTAAAAGTTTAAGGACCAATTTAGAAAATGGATCATGGTTTGAGGATGCATTATGTAATTAACTCAATTATATATGTACCATTAATTTAACAATCAATTAAAATTAAATAATTGAGAATAACAATATAACATTATCTTAAAAGTTTTTTTAAATAAAAAACTAAAATTTTGAACTTTTGATGTTTGATGGAATACTACTTTTTTAATAATGATTTCAATATCAAATTAAAAAATTTAACATTACTTATGAATAAAAAAATATTTTTTAAAATCTAAAAATATTATCAAACACACTCTATAGTATAGGAAAATTCTAAAATGGGCGTCGCATACTGAAACACACCACTAATGTGACACACAGATACACACCACTAAATAAATATGAAAAAATATAATGATTTATTCACAATTAATTCTTTATTATTATTTAGTTTGAATTTTAATAGTAATATAATTAGATAATATTTTTTTATTAAAATTATAATTATTTTAAGATTTTTTTTAACATTGAAACACTTATTTAAGTTTGTAAAATCATCATATAACAACCATCAAAACCACCCCCGACGACCTTATCTTCGTCGAAAAATCATATTCTTCAACCTATAATGCCTTCGTCAAGAGGAAAATAGTACTTGTTTTCACCAAATGTCGTCCAGTTCACTGTTGAGTCCCTTGACTATTAAAAATTATAAAATGGTCCCCTGATGATAAGACATTGCTTTCTTGAGTCCCTCAACTATTAAAAGTTACAAAATGATCACTCGACTATTCATTATGTTCCAAACTCATCATTTCCCGTTAAAAATTTAACGGTCGTCTGAGCTGAACGTTAACATGCTACTAAGATATGATAGTCGTTTAAGATTATGAGATCAAATTTTATCATATCTCAATTAGTGGGTTAATGTCAATCTCAGACTGTCATTAATTTTTTAGCGGAAAAGGACGAGTTTGGAACATAATGAATGTTCGGGTGACTATTTTAAAATTTTTAATAGTCGAGAGACTCAATAAAGCAACACCTTATAGTTAAGAGATCATTTTATAACTTTTAATAGTCAGATGACTCAACAAAACAGTACCTTATAAACCAGGGGACCATTTGTGCACTTTACCCTTTAAAGAAAACCATTCCTTTCCCTCCTTATTACCACGTACATGAGCCTAGTCTTAGCTTAATCAGCGGCTTGACATTGCATGTGACGGTGGGGTCTCAGTCACTGAAAATAATTCAGAGGGAAACCCATTATATTATTCATGCACCTAAATTAAACTTGGACTTGCAGAGAACAAGCATTTTCTCCCTAATTTTTTAATTATTTATTTATTTATTTTAATCAAACATTAATTTATTATTTTTCAATTATATATATCAAATTTAAACTAATTTGTTCATATTGTAATAAATTTTAAATTGATTTCTAACTTAATATAATATTTTTTTAAAAGAAAAATAAACTTTTTTTTTAGTCCAGTTAACAGATCCAAGCAAAATTAAAATTCGTATTGTATCAAGTAGGATCCATATGGACCGTAAATGACATGTGAAATTCTTCATAGAAGTCAGAATCGAATTAAATTGCTGATTGAGTTGGTTAAATTAAAAATCAATAACTTAATGAGTTATTAAAGCAGGAATGGACGGTTACTTTAAGGCATATAAATCAGGATGTGAACAAGGTGACCGATAAACTAGTCAATTTAACCATAGCAAGAGGCTCGGATCATACGGTTTTCTACTCTCCACCTTTGGAAGTACTTAGCTTGTTACAACAGGACTCATGTGCTTGTAATTTGATAGAAGAACATTGAGTGTTAGCTCCCCTCTTTATTTCATAAAAAAAAATCAATAACTTAATCAGTGAAAATTAAATAAATTGTTAAAAATAAAAAATCAAGATTAATAAATCAATGTTTTATCTAGATAATAAGTTTTATTAAATATTTTTTAAAATAATTAAATCAAAATTGATAATCGTGTCGACTTTGGTCAATTATTATAAAATTGTCTAATTTTTTTAAATACATTATAAAAATTTAAAAATTATTATTATTTGAATAAAATGAAAAAATATTTTAATATATATTTAAATAATTTTTCTTTAAAATTATCTCAAATTATGCATAATGTAAAATGAATTAGGATATGCTATAAATATGATTTTAAAAAAACAATTAAACACGATTAAAAATAAAAAATAATATAAAAAATAAAAAATAAAATAAAAATATTGAAATATATTAAAAGTTGTACATATGAAAATTATATAAATTATATAATAAATATTTAATAATTGACAAATTGAAAAATACAAAATCAGACGCAATTTTTTTTATTATTATTCTTCACTTTTCCACCTTTTTTCATAGCTGCAAAAAAAAATTCTAAACACGTGTTAGGCTCATAGTTAAGTGCATCGATAATGCATGCTACAGTAATCTCACCTACCGTTGCGTTGATAGATATGTATGCATGACATCACTATGATAATGGTATAATTTTTTCGGGCTTCACTAGGGATGCACTTAGCTCAGATTAGATCAGTTTTTAGTCTATTCTATTCGATCTAAAAATTATATATCCTCTATTCGATTCAAGTTTGATTTGAAAAGTATACAATTTTCATCTTACTTGAACCTAACCCTTTTTTAGATAAAACTCAAATCAAACTTTATTCGATTCAAAATAATATATTTATAAAAATATTACTTTTATTTAATAAAAAATAGAGATTTAATTAAAAAAAATAATATATAGATGTGTATTATTATAATTATCTTTAAATATATAAGATAAAATTATATTTTGACAGGTAAAATAGAATATTTTTGACCCTAACTCAAACTCAATTCAGTACTAACATAACTTCTAAAAAACCTAATCGACTCGACCCAAACCCAAAAGTTTTTTTAAAAAAAAACTCAACCCAATAAGATCGGGTCGGGTCGAAACCCATCGGGTTTCGAACCCGTGCCCATCTATATGGTTAGCATGCTAATTATATTTTTTTAATTTAAAAATATAATATGACATTTATATTAAATATTTTTATAATTAAATTTAGAGAAAATATATTTATTTTTATTAGGCACAGTCCAGCCCATGGATAAAAAAATATATGAGGGGAGCACCTTGAACTATCGTTTGCTCAGGCCCCAACTTTTATATTTATAATTGGGGTCTCTAACCTTTATATTTATAATTAGAATCTTTAATTTGTATATTTATAATTTAGCTCTCTAATTTTGTTTTTAGTTTCATAAATTTTTTAATTTTGACCATCTTTTTTCATATCTCTCATTAATTCATTTAATTTTTAATTAAATTTAATCATTTTTTCTTTTTTTTTTAAATTTCATTCTTCAATTTATTAAATATTCTTTAACTTTTAGTCTTCTCTAATCTCAATCTAACGATAAAATAATACACAATTCTTTATTATTTATTTATTATTCAAAATTAAGCTTGTATCATACCCATATTCATTTTTTTTAATATTTATTGTCTCTTAATTGTATTTAAGGTGTTTTTTAAGAAAATAATGAAAAATAATGTGTTCGACAAAATTTAATCATTTTTTTATAATTTATTAATATAATATTAAATTAATTGCTCAAAGTAGTGAAATTAGAGACCTACCTTTAAGTTTTTGTTTAGGATTTAAAAAATATTTGAGAGACTGAGACAATTTTGATAACATCCGTAAAAACATTTAGGATTCTGTAGAGAAACTATAAAAGTTTAATTTGGACGAATATAAACAAAAATTGTGTATTATGTTAAAAGTTATAACAATTTGATTTGGATGAATATAAAAGAAATTATGGTCATTAGTAGCATTCTTTACCTTAAAAAACCAAATCTCATCGTTTTTCAATCCTATATGTAACGTTTTCAAGTTATTTTCATTAACTGATATATGAACTATTTATTTTTATATCATAAAAATTTAAAATTAAATAAAATATATGTTTTGGCTAGGTTAAAATAATTGCAATTTATAAAAACTTAAAATTAAATAAGATATATAGTTTGATAGGTTAACTGAAACTTTCATTCCTTTCCCTCAAGAAATGGAAATATACCAGAAACAATAATTGTAAAAAAGAGAACTGATTTATTAAGAATGAGAATAATAATATCAGTACACAAATGGAGGCAACCCAGCACACAAGTTGAGTGCAGTGGTGGCCTTTTGCTTATTCAGAGGGGACTTGATCAATGCTAATTTCATTTAACCAATCATATATTTGCTACTACTACTACTTTATGTGTATGTATGTATGTATGAGTATAAAATATGGACTGCATGGTGAGAAAATCTAGAAATGATGTGCATGTGGATTATCAAAAACGCGGTTGTGGCAAGTTGGGTTGCATGGATAAGCGCAGTCTATCTTTTGGAACGGATTACGATCGTAAAACCAGTCTCCAACAGCCTTTCCAATTTTCTGCACACACAATTCAGTTTCAATTTCGTGTTTCCAAAACAAATATCAATGTAAATGCAGGCGTTATGGGCTTACGGTTTTATTCAACAATGGGGAGTCAGGCATAAACCATAACTCTTGCATCTCCGTTTGGCAATGGGCAAAGCATGAGTCTATAAACATTCCTCTTGATGTGGACCTGCCAACCCCAACCACTGCACTTAAGAACTGCAACCTGAAATCTGAAACACGCACAACACATCAGATCCATGACTAGGGGTGTTTGATGAGTGTAAAACAGGTTGAGTGAGTCACCTTGCATTACTTTGATTTGGCTGGGCACGCAGTTCTTTATATCAAGCTTGCAGCTCTCCCAGTGGCCTCGGGGATCAGCAATGCCAGGTGCCAAAATGTTTCGTATCTGAATGGAAAACAAACGCTCGAGTTTTGCAAAGTTTGTCTACTTGCTATGCAGATTTTTTTTTTTTTTTTTGCTCGGTAAGATGATTTTTATTAGAAAAATGGAGAAGAGCAAACCTGCCACGAATCATATGCTGCATTGATGAAGAAAAGTGGTGTTTGTATTTGCTGTGCCATGTATTGTGGGAAAAAACACTGCAAATTGTGCGTGGATGAGTATTGCTAACATCATCACAGGTCGAAATGGAGAAGAATGGAATAGAAGCACTCACTAGACCAGGTTTCATTCTCGAAGTACAAGATGGTGGCAAATTCTTTGCTGATCCCTTCAGAAAGAAAGTAAATAACATCATACATACATATAACTTCTACGAGTTAATTGCATCACATGTCCTCAAATTATGATTTTTATTTTAAATTAGTCCTTAAACTTTTAAAAATTCCAATTTCATCCTTAAACTTTGACTATTATTCTAAATTAGTCCTCAAACTTTTGAACATTTCAGTTTCATCCCAAAACTATGACCTTCATTCTAAATTGGTCCCCAAACATTTTGAACATTCCAGTTTCATCCCAAAGTATGCGTATATACTAATCACATCCATTGTTAATAAAACTGTTAGCCCAAGGTATATTATTATATGTTTTAAAAACTAAATAAACTAAATTTAGGTTAAAGTATTGGTTGAAACTAATTACATATTTGGATGAATTTGGGGAAAAAATTGAAAGATTCAAAAGTTTAAGGACTAATTTAGTATGAGAGTCATAGTTTAAGATGAAACTAGAATACTCAAAAAGTTTAAAGACCAATTTAAAATGAGAGTCGTAGTTTGGGGACATATGATACGGTTAACTCAACCTGAAGAATTCATATGAGGAGAAAGAGAGAAAGAATGGGTACGTGTGTTTGGACTAACTGGTGGAACAAGGTTTGAATGTAATGTCCTCCGGAGACATCTTTCCTGTAAAACAACCAATTACAATGCAATTAGCAAATGTATATATGCTTCAACACAAGATCCAGGCAGAAGGTCCTACAAATGAGCTTACGTATTGATAAAATAACCAGCATCTGAAATACATTTTACTTTAGTACCCATAGGTAGGAGGGTTCGGAAGCTATCGCAGTGCAAAATCGACGCCAATCCGCCGGCCGAACATCCCGACATAACAGCCTACACAAAGAAATCATTAGCCCAAGAACAAATAAATCAAGAAGAAGGCAAAAAACAATGTTAATTATGTTACATTTTCTGCATTTCTCATTCCTTTGCTCAATAGATCTTCCATGACAGCAAGCCAGACCCTCGTACCTCTGAAATGAAGATTAGTATGTGGATCGACGGCCGCAACGTCGCCGGTGAACGATGATCCATCACAATATCTGACCTTGACTCTGTTCCAATTGTAAAAGTCTACAAATCCAAATAAAACCTGTTAAACTGGGGTGGCAAACAAATATTGGAAGGGGAAAAGAACACAGCAAAAGGTCATGCCTGGATTAAACAGATGTTTATTGTTCAATATGCCAGAGAAAGGAATTTGCTTGACCATTCTCTTAGATGAGCCTAGATGAGTACTTTTACGAACCAGGCAACTAGTGACATTATTGCACCATCCTCCTCCCTGGAAAAACACAAGTTAAATTAAATTTGTGATTGTTTTGTGTAAAACCAAACCAAACCTATTAGTGTTGGACAAACCTCAAGCTGAATCAACCAACTATTTACACCAGTTCCGTATCCCTTATCCCAATGATAAGCTGGGGGGCTTCCATCTAAACAAACTACAATTTCATCAAACATGTCAGAAAAATGTAAAACCAAAGAGGAGTGGATACTTTTTTCTGGGAGGGAAAAATACTGACCAGCTCCTTTTGCTACAGCACTTCGAACATAGGTAATTGGGACGTAAACCCCGTTTATTTGAACAACAGCTGCCCCAAAACAACAAGACATAGCCATTGCCAGGAGCTTTTAGCATCCACCATCTATGCACCTGTAATGACATGGCACAAGACAATACTAATACCAGGAAGAAGAGATCTAAGACAAACGTTGTGAAAGGTGTTCATATGAATGAAAAGGGAAAAGTACCAGCTGTGTCTTTTGCCGCACTTGGTAGTTTTAATGGCAAAGCTAGGCTAGTTGTAACGCAACCAAAGGGACCTCCCTGTTTCTGCAAAGGGCAGGAGAGCCGACACTGATCGTCTTAAAAAACACCAATAGCATCAACTCCAAAAATATTGTGTGTTATTTTTCTTCTGTGCTGTCAACTTTTGAAATATATAAAAATGATTCGGGTGGACTTGTGGCGATGAAGCTCGATTTTTTTTCCTGTGAAGACTTTTAGTTAAAAGTGGGGTTTGGAGCTGACCCACTGGTTTCAATTTGCATGTGGTGATGGAAGAGCTAATCTTATCGGCTAATGCGTTTCGGTTACGCCTTTCTCTCTCATTTCCGTAACCTTCGTCTCTTCTCCACCTATATATTATTTTTTAAAGTTTTAGTTTAAGTATCATATATATATATATATATATATATTCTCAAGTTTTGGGTTTCTTTTTCTTTCTCTACTGTTACACCCACATCTATCACTATCATTAATTCTCTTATATGTAACAACAAAAAGTATAAGAAATAATTTATAGGAGCTGTAACCAACAATTTGAAAATGCAGACTAAACTAAAAAAAAAAACTCAAATATATTACATATTTTAAACTGTTAACGCTATTATCAATGTAATTGTGGTTATTGAAACAAACGGATACCGAATGTTACAAAAAAAATCTCAAATTTAATGTTTGGTAATAACTAAATGTTATTTTGATTTTTAATTAATCACATTTGATCGGTTAATCAAGTTATTCATATTTGTTCTTTTATAAATTTTTAGATTGTAAATTTATTATTAGGATTAGATTCAGAACTTAGAAGGAAAAAAAATGCTATTTTGATTTAATTTTTTGTTGCATTGAATTTGAACCAAGTGGGAAACGTAATGAATATTTATTATTCTTTATACTTGTTTCTAACAGTTTTCTTCGTATTTTTATATATTTTAATTTTTTACAATTTATATATATTTTATATATTTTGAAATTTTAAAATACTTTTTCTTATTCTAAAATATATTTGCATTTTTTAAATTTACATAAAATCAAAATAACTGATGCTAGTATTGAAAAATATAAAATAATAACCAATTTAATAGGCTCATCACTTCTGATAGTTGAATTTGACAAAAAAAAATTGAAAATCAAAAGAGAAAAACATAGTTAAAAGATAATATAAATTTTTGAAAAAATTAAAGTAAAACTATCATCAAAGTTTTAATAATTAAAATATATTTCCAACAACTCTTTAAGATATTGATCAAGATTTGTTGAAACCAAGAAGTTAAGATTAGTATCCTTGTAATAATATCCTTTTTCTCATTGTATGTAAAATACTAATTGATAGATATTGCGGAAAACAAAAGGAAAAGGAGCAAATAGATGTTTAATTTGGTACTTATTAAATGGTTTTTTATTTAAAGTAAATTTATGCTGTTGATTTTTGCTCAATTTTTATTAAAAACGGATCATTCTAAATACTTTAATTAAATAAATTTTATAAAAAATGTTTTAACGATATTATGAATTTTTTAATCCATGATAAATTTAAAATAAATTACTATATCATATTTATTTTGGTTGTCCTTCTTATTCTAGGGTTTCACTTTAACTAATTTGGATCAGTCCGCGTCGTGTGATATTAAACTGTTTATATCTTGAACTAACCCATTAATATATCACATTTTTTTAGTTGCAAACTATACCATTTTCCTTTTTAGAAAATGAATGTGAAAATGCCACCTGATGTAAGATCTTTACTTGCAGATTGACGTGTGGAAAGGAGCTGACATAACATGTGAAGACGTCATGTTAGATGGTATTTTCAATAAAAAAAAGTTAAATTATACATTTAATAATTAAATTATTAATTTTAGTTTGTTTTAGTATCTAAATTTTTAAATTTTTTTCAAAATTTTAAAATCATATTTAACATTTAGTTTTTGTTTCATTTTAGGATCCCAACATTAAAATCTTAACGGACGAGTTTGTCGATTGCCGCGTCTACAATCACTGACTATCACATCCGTCGATGATGAAGTCCAAATTTTCTAGCTTGAACCTTTTTGACCCTTTGAACGTGATTCCGACCTTCGTCTTACCAGGAAACGCATTAATCTTCCAAAATCGACAATTAACTCTTCAATTTTTTCGTCTTCTGATCTCTATGATCCACCGTCCAATGGGCTTGAAAGTGGACTATGTTGATCGACTTTTTATTCTCTTGTGGTCCATCTTTTGGATTGATCGCTTGTCCGTCGAAGCTATGCCACACAAGCCCGTCCGATAAGTTTCTAACGGTGGGGTACTTAAATAAAGCAAAAACTAAACATTAGGTGTGATTTTTTTTTTAAAAAAAATAAAAGTTTAGGTACTAAATCAAATCAAAACTTATAGGTACTAAACACATAGTTTACCCATAAAATTTTAGGTAAATTATATTTAGTATCTAAACTATTACTTATGTTCAGTTTTGATACCTAAATTTTATTATTTTTCAAAATCATACTAAACTTTTAGTTTAAGTTTCAATTTGGTATCCCGCTGTTAAAATATTAACAAAGTTGTTGATGTGATATTCTTTTATTTTTTTCAATGATGATATGTTATTACCTTATGATGATATGTCAACATAACTAGGGATGAGCATGGGTCGGGTTTGGGTCGGGCTTCGGCCAACCCAACCTGATCCTAAAATTTTACATCCTTCACCAGACCCGACCCGACCCAAAAAATATATACCCTCCACCTGACTAGAACCCGACCCAATTTTTTGAGATAAAATCCGAACTCGATCCGACCCTACCCAAAATAATAAAAAATATTATTTTTATTAAATAAAAATAGTGTTTTAATTGAACAAAATAATATATAGGGGTATTATTATAAGTATTCCAAAATATATAAGGTAAAATTATAATTTTTTCAGGTCGGGTTGGATATTTTTCACCATAAACCTGAATCCGACCCGACCCGAACATCACATTTAAAAAACCCAACCGAACCCTACCCGACCCGAACCCATATTTTTTAAAAGACCGACCCGATCAGGTCGGGTCAAAACCCGTCGGGTTCGGATCTCATGCCTATCCCTAAACATAATTGTTAAGTCTTTAATGATATGGTATCAAAATGAAATTTAAACTAAACGTTAGGTACAATTTAAAACAAAAACAAAATTTGAGTATTAAAATGAAATAAAATTATAGTTTAGGCACTAAACATGTAGTTTACCATGAAATTTTATTTGTTAGATTTGCCTGATGCTTGAAGATGAGAGAACCCCAAAGTAAGAAAGTGTTGGTGAAGGACAAAAACTCTCATCATACAATATTATATGTTTATTGGTATGCTTGAAAAAGCATTAAACAAAAGGATGTTTGTTCCCTTACCTGCTTGCAGCTGGAATTCATTTCCTTCCATGATTGGTTCGAACGTGGCACATGATGGTACGTTGAAGATGCCCACGAGATTGACGGTGATTTCTTTTGTAAAATGTTTGCTGACCCACCTTCGCCACCGCTATCGCCACCGCCACCTTCCACCTTCCACAACAACAGAATGACATAAAGCTAAAAGGAAGAGCCACCAAATCATTTTCAACATCCAATAATGATCCGACTCATTGGCGCAATTGCAATCCAATCACCAAACTCTCCCTTCTCACTATACCTGTGTACGTAGTTCAAACCAACATCATGAATAAGATGATTGGTCATATACGGAATATAGTCTATGCAAAAACAATTATGACAATGATAGCATTATTAACGATCTTCATGTATATTTATTATAGTTTATTTCAGGATTTCATAATGAAATTTATTAATATCATATTTTTTTATGTTTGAGTATGTAATAAATTTTAATTTTATTTATATCATATATTATTGATTGTTTAATATATATATATATATATATATATATATATATATTATATATTGATAATAAAAGATAGGTACAATGTAATATATGTTCAAATATAACTCTCAACCATTTAACATTAAATGTTCATACTCCTGATATTTCTGGTGCTCGAACCCGAGACCTTAAAGAATAACAACAATTTCCTTACCACCAAGATCATTAGGGTTCATGCTTGATTGTTTAATATATATACACATATGGAATTTAAGTATACACTCAAACAAAAATCTAATGAGTTATTCAATTTTCTTAAATATAAAAATAAGAGAGTAATAAGAGAAAAACACATATCAAAGGTGCATAATTATGGATGTGATAGTTATTAGAAAAATAACTCCTATAACAGTTATCATAATAATTATTCTCTCCACCAAAAGCGAAAACACATAGATAAATAAGAGAGTAATAAGAGTTCTCGAAATAATCTTTAAGGAATCATAGATAACATATGTCATCAATAAGCTAATGAAAATAAGCCAATGTTGATTTAAATGTCATAATAGTCCTTAAGCCTGATAAAGTTTAAAATTACGTAAAAAAATAAGGGTTGTCACCAATCATTTTAAGGTGAGATTGAACAACAAAAAATCGAGTTATTTTAATAAAACCTTTAATTTACTAAAAACAACGAGGTTTTGGTCTGTAAAATCAGAAAATAGGTTCGTGAGTCGGTTACGCATGAGGAAAGATTAATAAAACATCATGTATTCGCTTGTTTAGGAGGAATTACAACATTCTTTTTATTTCAATTGGAGGAAGAAATAACCGTCTTAATTATTTAAGGGATTATTTCTACTCAATTGGAAATGATGAAATGTTGTCCCTTTCTCTTTAGGATTCCCAAGTTAATAGAAATTTGTGTATTTATTTGTAATAAGATGATTATATTTTAAATTTATTATTGAATTCGTAGTTATCATTACTAGAGACAACGTATAATTAATTAGGTATTG